CCTCTCTCTCTCTCTCACACACACGCACACACACAAAAATGGGTGTGAAAAACGTTGTGGACGATGGAGAAGCCAGCAAACCCTTTGACCGAGCTGGGAGATGTGTATGATTGAAGGGGAAGACTTAAGGCAAGACGTGGGGATATGAGCAGGAGATGGTTGTTTAGCACCGTAGGAATGTACCAACTTTTACAATGTTCAAAACGGAAAGCAATGGTTTGAGAGTAAACAGACGGGAGAAATGTGGTCATAAAATTGTGACAAGGAATGAAAGAATGAATGATTCACTAACCTCCATCCTCCCCCAGTTGGTCTCAGCCTCCCCAGTCAGACCATCTGCATATAGAGAGACCGCCAAAGCTGCCCTCACGTCTGGAAACTGCGTCCATTGATTTGGAATCACCCCTCGTTTTGATTCAAAAAAGCGCATCCAACAATTAGAGGCATGACATGGCATTTGTGTGCATAGTGAGCCAGAAAAGAAACATGATGCAGACGGTGGCACACATACACACACACCCACACACACACAAACATAAAGAAACACAAAGAAAAAGAAAGAGAAACACAAGTTCCCACAAACTCGGGTAGGGTCTCTTTGAAAGGCCTTCCATGTTTCAGGCCCCAAATTCGGATCTCAGGGTCAGAGGCCCTGGTCAAGAAAAGGCCGAGTTTGTCAAATTCAGAAAAGTCACAGTTGGGTACCTTAGCGGTCCAGTCTAACAGGCTCCCAGCAAACAGTCACATCTTAGGGGCAAGAGTCACGTCTCATAATGAAAAGTCATATTGAAAAGTCACATCCCACGAGAAAAAGGGCAGAACCACAGGCAAGAGTCGTGACCCAGAGGCAGGAGTCACTGTCCACAGTCAAAAGTCATGTTCACGAGTGAAAAGTCATGACTCAAAGGCCCAAGCAGCAGCAGTCCAATGGAAATTCGTGAAGGTTCCAGGCCTTGACATTCAGAAGCAGACAGGCCGTGGGGATGTGGTACCAGAACCAGTCAGGACCCAAGAAACAGAGGCTGGCACGAGTTGAAGTGCAAACCAAGACTACAAAAGGACTGGCCAGCCTCCCATTCGGGCAGATTGCTCATTCGCAAGAAGTGTGGAAGTGCTGGTGCACTTGTGCGCTGATGCGAGGGGCAAAGCGCTGTGCCAGAGTGCTGCGCTAAGAGAGAGAGAGAGAGAGAGAGAGAGAGAGAGAGAGAGAG